GGCTAGATAGATCTCAGCTTGTGAATCTTTGAGTCGCAGGCCTTTGGAAAGGCAAAGCATGTTGATTAAGGAACAAGAACCTGGTAGCTCTCCTTCTCATCGACAAGAGGCAACCCATAATAATTTAGACATTGGAGCACATGCCCAACGCTGGCAGTGTGTATATGTGGGGTGGAGGCAGGAGGGTCACCCAGAGGCATTGAGTGCTTTTGTGGCAGCATGAGATGCTGACAGACACACAGCAACTGGGGAAAAGACAAGGTTCCAGAGTGCCCTGCAGGTTCTAAAGAGATGAGCCTTGTCAGAGCCACACTGCCACGGCAGCCAATCACCTGGGTCAGATATGCAGGATCAGCGAATGCTTTGTAAAGCCTGGACCCCAGCTAGGAACAGTAATCCTACATCCTTCCAGCAGGAGAAGGGAACCTGCCCACGCACCTTCGCTTTCTGCACACTGCTGAGCCACTGCCTTCTACCAGTGTACTGGAAAGGGTAAGAAAGACCCGAGTCTGTGTTCCAGCTCTGACATTTACCGGCCATTATCCTTGGCCAAATCAAATTATGTGCTGGAGCCTCTGCTTCCATATCTGTAAAATGGGAGTAATGATAATAAAATACCAAAAGGTGGCCAGGCACGGCGGCTCACACCTGTAGTCCCAGCACTTTGGGAGGCCGAGGTGGCTGGATCACGAGGTCAAGAGATCGAGACCATCCTAGTCAACATGGTGAAACCTTGTCTCTACTAAAAATAAAAATAATTTTTAAAAAATGAGCTGGGCGTGGTGGTGTGTGCCTGTAATCCCAGCACTTTGGGAGGCCGAGGTGGGCAGAACACGAGGTCAAGAGATCGAGACCATCCTGGCTAACATGGTAAAACCCTATCTCTATTAAAAATACAAAAAAAATAAAATAAAAAAGAGCTGGATGTGGTGGCGTGTGCCTGTAATACCAGCTACTGGGGAGGCTGAGGCAGGAGAATCACTTGAACCTGGGAGGCAGAAGTTGCAGCAAGCTGAGATTGTGCCACTGCACTCCAACCTGGCAACAGAGCAAGACTCTGTCTCAAAAAATAAAATAAAATATGAAAAGGTTGGAAGGGGTAAATGATCAGCTTGAGTATAATAATTATAAGATGATTAGCACATAGCAAGCACCTGAATAAAGTGTTTTTTTTCGGCTAGTCACAGTGGCTCATGCCTGTAATCCCCGCACTTTGGGAGGCTAAGATGGGTGGATCACCAGAGGTCAGGAATTGGAGTCCAATGTGGCTAACATGAAGACATCCCAGCTCTACTAACAATACAAAAATTAGCCTGGCATGGTGGTGCATGCTTGTAATCCCAGATACTCAATAGGCTGAAGCAGGAGGATTGCTTGAACCCAGGAGGCGGAGGTTGCAGTGAACAAAGATCACACCACTGTACTCCAGCCTGGGAGGCTGAGTGAGACTGTGTCTCAAAACAATAAATAAAATAAAAATAAATAAAGTGGTTTTAAAAATATTTTAATTAAAAAAAAATAGAGACAAGGTCTCATCATGTTGCCCAGGCTGGTTTCGAACTCCTGGGTTCAAGCTATCCTCCCTCTTCAGCCTCCCGCAGTGCTGGGATTACAGGAGTGAGCCATTGAGCCTGGCCTAAAGTATAATTATTGATATAGCATCAACATCATCTTGAATGTCAGAGCTAGAAAGAGGTTTTTGTTTTTTTTTTTTTTTGAGACAGAGTCTCGCTCTGTTGACAGGTGCCAGGCTGGAGTGCAGTGGCGTGATCTCGGCTCACTGCAACCTCCGCCTCCCAGGTTCAATCAGTTCTCCTGCCTCAGCCTCCCGAGTAGCTGGGACTACAGGCGCATGCCACCACACTCAGCTAATTTTTGTATTTTTAGCAGAGACGGGGTTTCACCGTGTTGGCCAGGATAGTCTTGATCTCTTGACCTCCTCGGCCTTGATCCGCCCACCTCGGCCTCCCAAAGTGCTGGGATTACAGGCATGAGCCACCGTGCCTGGCCTAGAAAGAGTTGTAGAATCAATGTGTTTTATGCTACATCTATTCTTCCTACTTTTGACAATATTGACTGAAGACCTCTTAAGTACTGAGCTTTGCCTAGACGCTGGAAAGACAGGTTGGGGAGGAAGACAGAAGAGGTGTCTGCCCTAGGTGTTCCCGGCTGGGGATGTAGACAGGAGGAATCAATTATTTTGTCTGCCTTCAAAGTCACATCAAATTCTTGGGCTGCACAGTCTGGTGTCTGGTCCGCCAGGATCTCCTGGGGGACAGTTAGCCTTTCTCAAGGAGGTGACAGACAGATTGAGACGTGAAAAGGTTCACTGAGCTAGGGGTGCTGACAGAAGCCTCAACCCAGACAAGAGGATCCTTCTGATCTCCTCCTCAGTCCTGCAACTGACATCTGCCAGCTCTGTCTTCCAAACATCTCTGGAAACAAAATGCTCCCTCCATACCCGAATCCCTTCTCTGGGTTTCTAAATTATTTCAGCAGCCTCCACACCAGTTTCTGCCTGTTTCTTCTTCATGCAGCAGCCAGAGAAATCTTTGCGGAAAGTCAGGCTCACGGTGCCCTTCCCTGTCTCTCCATCACTGCAAGAGAAAGCCCCGACTCCTTCTCACCGCCCACAAAGCTCTGCGGCATCCAGCCTTGCAGACCCCTCTGATCTCTTCTCTCACCTCCACCACATCCTGTCCACTGCACTTCGTGCAAAGCCCCACACTTGCCTCCTTCCTGCTAAGCCTTTGCACCTGCTGGATTCTGTGACGGGTGCACTTTCCCATGTCTCTGGCATGTATGCAAACCCCTGGCCCTCCCTCCCTGGACGGGGTTAATCCCTGCTGCTCCTGCCTCATCAGTTACAGGTGCTGGCTTCACTGTGGAGGGTTGTTGAAGGATTTAACTTTCCCTACTTAAGACACAGGACCCTTGTCTGTGTTAGCTGCTGAATCTGGGCCTAGCACAGCAAGCCCAGGAAATGCTATTGCTAGAATGTTATTAAGCAAATGCCCCCATTCAGACCTCTTCCTCTGATCTCCATTTTTTTCATCCACAGAAGGACATTATAGATCACCCTGCTGGTGTTTAATCTATGCGTCTATCAGATCAGTCATATGAAGTCTCTAACATGCATGCAATAAACATTATATAATATTGTTTTATTGTTTCCAGATCAGCAATTGCTAGCTCCATGGAGGCAGCTTTATCAGTCCCAGTATTTTCCATATGGAGGGCACTAACTATTTATTGAACACATGAATCAATTAATAAATGAGCAATGAATGAACACATGGCTGCCCATGGGCAAATTACTTAATATCTGTGTGCCTTAGTTTCTTTCTCTTGCTATGTGTGTGTATGTATGTATAGTCATCCCAAGTGGAGCGCAGTCATGTGATCTCTACCACTTCAACCTCTGCTTCCTGGGTTCAAGCAATTCTCATGCCTCAGACTCCCAAGTAGTGGGGATTACAGGTGAGCAGCACCATGCCCCAAACATTTTTGTATGGATTTTTTTTCTTTTTGAGATGGTGTCTGGCTCTGTCACCCAGACTGGAGTACAGTGGCGAGATCTTGGCTCACTGCAACTTCTGCCATCTGGGTTCAAGCGATTCTCCTGCCTCAGCCTCCCGAGCATCTGGGACTATAGGCATGTGCCACCACACCGGGCTAATTTTTGTATTTTTAGTAGAGACAGGGTTTCACCACATTGGTCAGGCTGGTCTTGAACTCCTGACCTCGTGATCTGCCCGCCTTGGCCTCTCAAAGTGCTGGGATTACATTTTTTTTTTTTTTTTGAGTTAGAGTCTCACTCTGTTGCCCAGGCTGGAGTGCAGTGGAGTAATCTCAGCTCACTGCAATCCTTGCCTCCTGGGTTCAAGTGATCGATTTTCCTGTCTTAGCCTCCTGAGTAGCTGGGACTACATGTGCACACCAACTACCCCCACCAGCTAATTTTTGTATTTTTAGTAGAGACAGGGTTTCACCATTTTGGCCAGGCTGGTTTGAACTCCTGGCCTCAGGTGATCCGCCCACTTTGGCCTCCCAAAGTGCTGGAATTAAGAAGTGTGAGCCACTGCACCTAGTCCAGAAATTTATTTTAAGCAGATAATATATACATATGGCAAAAAGAAAGTTAAAAAAGAACAAAGAACCAAGGTTCATAGTGAAAAGTAAACCTGCATGCCTACCCTACCTTTTCTTCAGTATCCAGTGCACAAGCATATGATGCATAGATAGGTCTATTATTTGAAGCATTGAAAGGTTATAGCCAGGAGTTTTATTTCATTCATGTATATCAGGGTTTCTCAACCCCTACGCTATTTGGCATTTTTTGCTGGATGTTTCTTTGCTGGGGTTGTGGCAGGGTGGGGTGGAAAGGGTGTCTTGTTCACTGCAGAATGTTTAGCAGCTTCTCGGGCCTCTACTCACCAGATGCCAGTGGCACGTCTCCACTTCCCCAGTTACGACAACCAAAAATACTTCACATATTGCCAAATGTCGGGGTGGTGGAGGGATGTCAGGGCAAAATCACCCCCTCCCAAACCACTGATGTGTATGAATATACATTAGACCACTTTCTTTTTCCTGTGTTTTACACAAACAATCGCCCAAATACACCCCGCAGCGGGGCTACTTTTCATTTCTTTTCTTACACCACTTTTTGGTGACCATTCCACTTCACTGCTTACAGGCAGAAAGGAACTTCTCTTCAACGGAGTTGTCTGGGAGAAGTGGTAAGCTGCCAGTCCTAGGGGTAAGCCAGCGTGCAGACAGGGGCTTCCAGGGCTGCGGGGCCAGGAAACTCCGTGGGTAGGCTCTGCTCACCTCGTGGTCCCGAGGCGGAGTGGAGGGGGCGGAGAGTGGGCGGGGCAGCGTCTCGGCCCCGCCCCCGTACGTCACGGCGCCGCGGCCCCGCCCCCGCGCGGGCACCTCCCCCTCCCCCGGCCGGGGTGGCTGGAGAGCCGGGAGTCGCTGGGTTCGCGGGGCTGGCTCGCCGCGCCTGGCACGGTAGGTGGCCCCGGGGCGGCGCGGGGGGCCTCGGGCCGCAGCCGGAGGCGCGGGCGCGGGGCGCGTGCGCGTCGGTCTCCGGCGCCGGGCAGCTTTCCGTCCTGGCGGCTGCCTCCGGGCCCGGCGCGACTGCTCGGGCTCCGGGGCTGGGAGCTGGGAGCTCGGAGGCAGGCAGGCGGCGCGGGCGGGCGGTTCTGGGATCCGCACCCCCCCCCCGGCGTCCCGAGCGCTTTCCGCGGGGTGCGGCACCCAGCGGGCCCCGGTTACCGCGCTTCCCGCTTCGGACCTAGCGCCTGGGAGACGCGCAGCGTCTGTTGGGGGGGGAACTGGGAGGGAGGGCGGCGCGTCCCCGCCTTCGGAGTCCCCAACCCCGCCCAGGCGCGCGGGGACCCCCCAGGCGGGCGGCGGGGCGCGTGGAAGTTAACTTGTGGCCGCCGTGGAGTTGCGAGGAGCTTCAGAAGTGGAGGCATTGTGGGGTGCGGAAATCGCCGACAGGGGAGATGGGTGTCGGGAGCACGGGGTTGGGGAGCCCTAGTGAACTTGGAGGTCACTCTGGGGGAGCGGAGCAGAATTTGACCTGAGGATCCCACCCCTTCACCCTCAAATCCCTCTCCGCAACCTCCGTTTCTCCGTGTGAGCTAGATGGGAGGTGCCCGGAAAGCCGGGGCTGGGAGGGAAGGGAGCAGGGGACCGGGAGCATGGGCTCAGACGCCGAGCACGCCTGACCTGGCAAAGTCATTAGATGGGACAGAGGTCGAGGTCTGGCTTTCTCACTCAAAAGCCCATTCACTAGGGAAGGAGCCATCCACTTCGGCACAGTCATTAGAAAGCACCATGCTTAACATCTTGCCCCTTCCCCTTTTACAGATGGGAAGACTGAGGCTTGGAGAGGTCACCTGCCTGTGGTCCTAGGACTCACAGCTAGGATGTGGTAGAGCTGAAACTCACACACAGGCCTCCTGACTTAATGTCCTATGGGGATGTTGAGGAGGCGGGCCGGTGAACTCCTACTTATCCTACAGAAGCCCCCTCAGGCAGCACCTCCTCCAGGAAGCCTTCCTTAGCATTCTCCTGGTATTGTTGGGTGCTTCCTGTTTTGAACCCCACAGAGGTAGCCGGCTCTTTTTATCACTTTCCAACAGACATTCCCTTGCGTATCTGTCTGCGGGACTGGGCTGTGGATGGACACCTCTCCCTAGCCTCCATCTGATACTCCTTTCATCCCAGCAGGTGGTCTGATGGTGAAGGCAGGCTTCTGGATTTGAACAGATCTGTGACTCACACTGGATTGAGTAGCAATGTGGCCCCGGCGACCCATTTTCCTTCCGCTCTAGCCTAGTAAAGCTAGGTTTATTTCATGGTCCTAAAGGAATTGTTGCATCATTTCTGAATCCTCCCACCCCACTGAACCCCAGTTGTACTATTATTTACTTAATATGTATCTTTGTATCACTTGATTTTTTTTTTTTTTTTTTGAGACGGAGTTTTGCTCTTGTTACCCAGGCTGGAGTGCAATGTCACGATCTCGGCTCACCGCAACCTCCGCCTCCTGGGTTCAGGCAATTCTCCTGCCTCAGCCTCCTGAGTAGCTGGGATTACAGGCACGCGCCACCATGTCCAGCTAATTTTTTGTATTTTTTAGTAGAGAAGGGGTTTTACCATGTTGACCAGGATGGTCTTGATCTCTTGACCTCGTGATCCACCCGCCTCGGCCTCCCAAACTTCATTTTAAGTACTTCATTCCTTTTTATGGCTGAATAATATTCTATTGTATGGATATACCACATTCTATCCATTTATCAGTTGATGGACATTTGGGTTGTCTATGAACATTCATGTACAGGTCTTTGGACATACATTTTCAGTTCTCTCAGGTCTATTTGTAGGAGTGGAATGGCTGGGTCATAGGTAACTAACTTTTTTTAAAAAAATTATTTATTTATTTTATTACTCATTTATTTATTTTGTAGAGATGAGGTTCTCACTATGTTGCCCAGGCTGGTCTTGAACTTCTGGTCTCAAGCGATCTTCCCACCTCAGCCTCCTCAAGTGTTGGGATTGTAGATGTGAGCCACCCCACCCAGGTTTAATCTTTGACGACCTGCCAGACTGTTTTTTCAGAACAGCTGTGCCATTATATATTCCCACCACCAGTGTACGAGGGTTCCAGTAATCTTAAATACATTTAGTGTTCTCTGAAGCAGTCATAATCCTTGAAATCACTGGCTTTGATGTGTTAGTTATAAACTATTTTCAGGCTGGGCGCGGTGGCTCACACCTGTACTCCCAGCACTTTGGGAGCTGAAGTGGGCTTATCATCTGAGCTCAGGAGTTCGAGACCAGCCTGTCCAACGTGATGAAACCTTGTCTCTACTAAAAATACAAAAAGTAGCCGGACGTGGTGGCACTTGTAATCCCATCTACTCAGGAGGCTGAGGCGGGAGAATCACTTGAACCCAGGAGTTGGAGGTTGCCATGAGCTGAGATTGATCACACTGCAACCTGGGTGACAAAGCGAGACTTTCTCTTAAAAAAAATGTTTTTTCTATTTTTTATTTTTATTTTATTTATTTTTTTTGAGACAGGGTCTCACTCTGTCACCCAGGCTGGAGTGCAGTGACAGGATATTGGCTCACTGCAGCCTCCGCTTCCTGGGTTCAAACCATCCTTTCACTTCAGCCTCCCTAGTAGCTGGGACTACAGGCATGCACCACTACGCCTGGCTAGTTTTTGTGTTTTTAGTAGAGACAGGGTTTTACCATGTTGGACAGGCTGGTGGTCTCGAACTCCTGGACTCAGGTGATTCACCCACCTCGGCCTCCCAAAGTGCTGGGATTACGGGCGTGAGCTACTGTGCCCTGCTTGTTTTCTAATACACAATACATTAAACGCCTCAGCAACAGAATGAGGGGTGTCCTGCAGGTCATGAGGAACATCTCTGGGGTCATCCATTAGGGAAAGAGATCAGTCCTATGAGTGGTTAGTCTGGGCATGTGTACACTTCAGTTCTTCCTAGCAACAGTGAAAATACTGAAGCAAGGGCAGGCTGTGTAGGACCCAGTGGTTCACAGAGCCCACCCCAGCAGCTGGCACACAGTATTAGGAGGGGGTGATAGGAAGGCAGAAGCTGCTTGGATCTTCCCACCCCAGGTACCAGCCTGGAGCCCCCTTGCCAGCTGAGGCTTTGTGGAGGCCAGGGAGACCCTTCATGGCTTGCCTAGACCATAACTGAAAGGGAAGACTTGTCCCTTGACTCTAAAATTAAGTCTGGTCCTGCCTGCACCCTATCTGGACCCCCCACACTACTCTGAAGGTGACCCCTCTGGGGGGCCACAGGAGGGTCCTGTGAAAGTTGGTGCTTAGTTCTTTTTTTTTGTTCTTGAGATGGACTCTTGCTCTGTCACCCAGGTTGGAGTGCAGTGGTGCCATCTCGGCTCACTGCAACCTCCACCTCACAGGTTCACGTGATTCTCTGACCTCAGCCTCCCAAGTAACTGGGACTACAGGTGCATCCCACCACATCCAGCAAATTTTTGTATTTTTAGTAGAGATGGGATTTCACCATGTTGGCCAGGATGGTCTCCATCTCTTGACCTCATGATCCACCCACCTCGGCCTCCCAAAGTGCTGGGAGTACAGGTGTGAGCCACCGTGCCCGGCTGAGTTGGTGCTTATTTCAAGAGAAGCCACCCCCCAGGCCTGAGATGAGCAGTCCTGAGTTACAGACACATCATCTGTGAACAGTCTGCAGACACATCCTCCCCCTCCTCTCAGCATCTTCCCCACCCCTAGGACCCTGCGTCTCTTCCTTCGCACCCTTTGCTTTGGCAAGAAGCTGAACAGGAAGAACTCGGGTCAGAGCCCTGCGTGTTCACAGAGGAAGAGTTCCCTGAAGGTAGATCACCCCAGGTTGAATCTGTACTCTGCTGGTTTGGGAACTTAAACCAGTGCTCCTCTGCATGTTCCAGTTTCCTGGCAACTTGGTTGGTCTGGGCAGCTGCTGTTTGGGAACGGTGTTAAGACCACGCCTCCCAGCTGCTGTATTTGGCACCTCGTGATTTTATTCTTTTTTATATCTTGCCTTTCCTTGTCCTTTTAAAATCCTGAATTCCTGTGCATTAAGAAAGCAGCCTAGGCCAGGTGCGTGGTGCATGCTTCTAATCCCAGAACTTTTGGAGACTGAGGTGGGTGGATTGGTTGAGCCCAGGAGTTCGAGACCAGCCTGGACAATGCAGTGAGACTCCATCTCTACAAAAAATACAAAAATTAGCCAGACGTGGTGGTGTGCACCTGTAGTCCTAGCTACTTGGGAGGCCGAGGTGATGGGGCCAGATATTAGGTATTAGGTCAATACACAAAAATCAATTAAATATTTAAAAAGAAAAGAAAAGGAAGCAGCCTAGGGACATGGAGACAGGGTGGAAGGCTCTCTAGGCAAGGAACTGCCCCTCTCTGGGTCTCAGTGTACCCTACTGAGGAATGGGCATAGACCATTCTGAATTAAGATGTGGGAGCACCTTGGCATCGGTTAGCCTGTTGAAATATATTATTGATGTGACTTGGTGGGTGAATTTATAGCAAGAGTGGCAGGTCAGATACAGCTTCACAGCCTGGGGTTGGTAACCAGAATGTACCTTTTCGGAAACATGGGTGTGGCTTGTGTGGCTTTGATGCCCCGCGTGGCCCCAGGGAAGCTTCTCCGGGTAGCACTAGCTCCTGCTCCCACACTTGATGCCTGTTCCTATTGCTTGCAAGTCCCCTTGCTCTCTGAGGACCTGTATGTGCCCTGTCTGGGGCCCCTCCCTATGTCTGGGATGACTGCCCCCTCCCTTGTCACTCTCAGAACTCCCCCACCCCCGACTGCAGCCAGAAGAGGATTTGTGGGAATGATTCATTCAGAGCTGCCTGAGATCTTGGCCCAGCCCCAGAAATTGCAGGGAAGGACCTCAGAGGGCAGTGCCCACAGGCCCCAGGGAATGTCTGGAGCTGATGGCCCAGAG